TGAGCGGCCAGATCTTCATGGGCATGGTGTCCTCCCAGTACCAGGCCCGGCTGGACGTCGTGCGCCTCATCGACGGGCTGGTCAATGCCTGCATTCGCTTCGTCTACTTCTCTTTGGAGGATGAGCTCAAAAGCAAGGTGGGGAGAGCCACCCCCTCTGCCGCCACTGGCCCTTGTTCCCACGGGCTTCGGGGCCCCTCTGCTCATGGCCATCTGCCTTCTGCAGGTGTTTGCAGAGAAGATGGGCCTGGAGACAGGCTGGAACTGCCACATCTCCCTCACACCCAATGGGGACATGCCTGGCTCCGAGATCCCCCCCTCCAGCCCCAGCCACGCTGGCTCCCTGCACGATGACCTGAATCAGGGTGAGGGCAAAGGTTTGTGGTGGGGACAAGGTGGGGGTGGGTGACTCCCCCCACCTTGGAGCTATTCCAGAAAGAGCCCCATAAAGCCCTCCTGATACATACATTCCCTTGGAAAATGGCTCAGATCTCCCTGTGGTAATAGCAGCTGACAGGGGAGGAGAGGGGACCTGCGGGCAGGAAGTTCCATGCCATTTGCAGGGCAAGGAAAGGCCTCCAGAAGGCTGGCCCCAAGGTGAGGAACGGCCTTTCATCCCCACAGTATCCCGAGATGACGCAGAAGGGCTCCTGATGATGGAGGAGGGCCATTCCGACCTCATCAGCTTCCAGCCTACGGACAGTGACCTCCCCAGCTTCCTGGAGGACTGCAACCGGGTACGGCAGCAGGGTCTTCGCCGCCGGCCCCTGGAAGTGGCACATGGCAGAGGAGGGAGGGTCACGGGCATCTCTGCTTTTTCTCCAGGCCAAGCTGCCCCGGGGCATCCACCAGGTGCGGCCCCACCTGCAGAACATCGACAACGTGCCCCTGCTAGTGCCCCTGTTCACTGACTGTACCCCCGAGAGTGAGTACTGTGGCCACAGTGACTCGGGCAGCCCGTTCCCTTCCACTGAGCGCTGACAAGGCCTGGGATCCCATGAGCTCTTGAGGAAATGTGGGCTTCCCCTGCAGGGAGCAAAGGCACCTGGGCTGGGAGGAGCTGGGGAGTCTAGTGGGCTGGAGCCATGGGCGTGCCCATTCCGGGGAGTCAGGAGTGTCATAGGATTGGGTAGGATAGTCACAAAGGGGGAGCCCACTTCCTGTCTCCTCCTGTCCTGGGGGGCTCCGCCTGCCTGACTTGTGACTGACTCTGCCCTCAGCCATGTGTGAGATGATCAAGATCATGCAGGAGTACGGGGAGGTGACCTGCTGCCTGGGCAGCTCTGCCAACCTGCGGAACAGCTGCCTCTTCCTCCAGAGCGATATCAGGTCAGGGGCACCGCCTCTGCCTCCCGGAAACCCCAGATTGGGTTTGCATGGGGCTGGGGTGTATATTATGGCTGATCTTGCCCTGGTTGAGGGGACCAAGGGACCTGGGCATGGTGGGGAGAAGAGGGAGCAGGTGCTCGCCCCATCCTGTGGGAGATGGGGTCTCTCGAAGTACAGCTGATGGGTACGCTTCCCTCTGTGCTGCTCAGCATTGCCCTGGACCCCCTGTACCCATCCCGCTGCTCCTGGGAGACCTTCGGCTATGCCACCAGCACCAACATGGCCCAGGCCTCGGATGGCCTTTCTCCCCTGCAGCTCTCGGGGCAGCTCAACAGCCTGCCCTGCTCCCTGGCCTTCCGCCAGGAGGAGACCATCAGCATCATCCGCCTCATCGAGCAGGTGGGGGCTTGGGCTGGTGGTGGGAGCGGGGGTGCAGGGCCTGCTTGGGGTGGGGGGTTATCAGGACACAGGATCCTTCGGGGTTGCCTCCAAGCGAAGCTCTCCCGGGCAGCTTGGTTTGCAGGAGCATTGGGGCATCTGGCTCCTGGCTGAGGTTTGTCAGCTATAGGGTCTGTCCTCCCCGGCCCCTAGGCTCGGCATGCCACCTATGGCATTCGCAAGTGCTTCCTCTTCCTGCTGCAGTGCCAGCTGTCTCTCGTGGTCATCCAGGTGAGCCGGGCCAGCACAGACATTGTCCCCTCCCCGCCTGCTTCTTTGCTCAAGGGCCAGAGTCTGAGGCCAGTTGGGAGCTGGGAGGATGCAGCACAGCCTAGGGGCCCCCAGAGCCCCCCTGACACCGTGGGCTTTTGGAGATGACCCCTGAGCAGAATAGTGTCCCCTCCAGCCCCAGCTCCACTAGGCCAGGACGTGAGCGTCTGTCTGGGCCCAGGGCGAGGCAGCCTCGGGGCTCCCAGTGTCCTGTTTGTCAGAATCTAACCGTGCTTCCGGGGCTCTCCTGGCCCAGTTCCTCTCTTGCCTAGTCCAGCTGCCACCACTGCTCAGTACCACCGACATCCTGTGGCTGTCCTGCTTTTGCTATCCCCTGCTCAGGTGAGAAGCTGGCCGGCCCTCTGTGCCCAGGCAGGCGGGGTGGGACCAGGCAGCCGGGATGGGAGGTCACCGAGCACCCCAGGAGCCTGGGTTCAGGGAGCCCTGCTCAGTGCTCACCTCCTCTCGCAGAGGGAGCATGGGTGTGTGTTGTGGTGGGTGCCCCTTTGTCTTATCCCTCCCGCCCACCAACCCTGACCGCGCTCCCAAGACTCCAAAAAGGCTTCTCACATGGGAATTGGGACACAGAGGGTCATGGCGCCGCCCTTCACCCAGTCTCTGCTTTTCAGCATCTCTCTGCTGGGGAAGCCCCCCCATAGCTCCGTCATGTCTGTGGCAACAGGGAAAAACCTCCTCTCCATTCCTAAGAAGGTAAGCGAAGTGGACCTGTGAGCCTGGGCCTTTCCCAGGAATGAGCATAGAAGAGGCTGATCCTTGAGGCAGGGAGTGATCAGATGGGCCTCCATCACAATGCCCCCCACCAAAGGGAGGTGGGGGGACAGAGCTGGGAAAGAGCCTCGCCGGGGCGGGCAGTCCCTGCTCGGTTCCCCCATCCGGGCTGCCCACTCACTGAAGAGTCTGTTGAATCTGAGTGCCAAGTGCCGGAGGGGCCGTGGCCTCTGGAGTGACAGGCCTCCTTCCTCCCGCAGACCCAGCACTACTTCCTGCTCTGCTTCTTGCTCAAGTTCAGTCTCACCATCGGCTCGTGCCTCATCTGCTTTGGCTTCACATTGCAGAGCTTCTGTGACAGCTCCCGGGCCCGCAACCTCACCAACTGCTCCTCCATCATGCTGCCCAGGTGAGTCCCGCCACCGGCCCCACCTCGCCCCCAGGCCACCTCCGCAGGGCCCAGAGAGGGCTGAGTGCACATCTTGCTTTGGCAGCCATGCTGACACGGCTCCAGCCTGGTTTGATGACTTTGCCAATGGGCTGCTACTGGCTCAGAAGCTCACTGCCGCCCTGATCGTCCTGCACACTGGTAAGGGCTCCCGGAAGGGGGCCAGTGGTGGCTGGTGGGGTGCCCCGGGGACCAGGCCTTGGGCCGTGGCAAGTCTGACGCCCCCTCTGATGCCATTTTCTCCAGTCTTCATTTCTGTCACCCACGTGCATCGCACCAAGCCCCTGTGGAGAAAGAGCCCCTTGACCAACCTCTGGTGGTCCATGACGGTGCCCGTGGTGTGAGTGTGGCTCAGCTGGAGGAGGGGGCGGGGGCTGGGGCAGGGCTATGACTTGAGGGTGGGGTTTGGGCCGGAGATTGAAGGGTGCCCTTCTTGAGCTACTGCTGTACTGAGAAAAGCAGGGAAGGGAGCGAGAAGTCCCAGGTTGACCCGGCGCTGCCACCCCCGCCTGCAGGCTGCTGGGGCAGGTGGTCCAGACGGTGGTTGACCTGCAGCTGTGGACGCACAGGGACAGCCGCGTCCACTTTGGCCTGGAGGACGTGCCTCTGCTGACGTGGCTCCTGGGCTGCCTGTCCCTGGTCCTCGTGGTGGTCAGCAACGAGATCGTGAAGTTGCACGAGATCCGGTGAGCCACCAGCAGGGCACTCCCTCTGGGCCCGGGCCTGCTCCCTAAGCCTGTCATCCCCTGGGCATCATTCCCTCGCCTCCTGGCTACCCATCCCTGCCTCCTCCTGTGGCCTGCCCTGACCCCTGATTTAATCTCCTGCCCCCCCCCCCGCCCCCCCAGGGTCCGGGTCCGCTACCAGAAGCGACAGAAGCTGCAGTTTGAAACCAAGCTGGGCATGAACTCTCCCTTCTGAGCCATTGGCCACAGTGGTCACAGCACCAGACCCATTTCTGAGTCTGGGGAGTTGGTATCATGAATGTTTCAGGGTTTGCTCTTGTGCCCCATGGCACTGGAGGCCCAGATCCCCGTGCCAGACCCAGCTGTCGTCTTGACCCCAGGGCTACTGTGGAGTGAAGGAGCCAAGGCCGTGTCAGGACAGCCCTGGCTCTTCCCTGGGCCTCACCAGGGGCCTTCTTGAATGTCTGACCTCATGTGCTTCGCAAAGGGGCTCCCAGCCCACTCCTCCGGGGGCTGTCCCTCTTCAGGGTGCACTAAGCCAGTGCCCTGTGCTCTGGGGTCCCTGGGCGGGGCTGTGAATGTGGGGCCAGGGCCTCAACCTTTTTGGAAGGAACATTGGCAGCAGCTGTGGGGGGGTCCAGTCAACTCTCAAGGTCGCCGTTGAAGGCCAGGGTGACCCTCCATCCTGTCTTCCTGGGGCAGGGACCTGGATGTGGCCAAGCACTTCCCCTCCTCCCTCTGTAGGGGAGCCTCACAGGGACCTGAAGGTGAAGGCCCCCCTCACCCTGGAACCTCTCCCTGTGCCTGCCTCGAGCTGGCCACCAGTCAGTCTCGGGGACACGCCCAGGGCTCCTCCAGCCCCTGCATCGTTCTCCTGTGAGAATGTTTTTACTGGTGTATATTTTTTACTGGAAATGAGCCTTTTAGGAATGAATGTAGACTGGTTTGTATTAAAACTTATAAATTGTGTAAGAAAAACCTGTGGCTGGTCCATGAGGCAGCCACTAAGGGGAGAGGAGGGCTCGAGCCTTCCTCCTTCCGCCGCGACCGAGCCCGGGGTTCCGGCTGAGGTCCACAGCACAGATCCAAACACACAGGCGATCACGTGGAATGACACTTTCATTGGCGTTAGTTGGGGTAAGAGGTTAATTTACAGAGCCAGGGCCCGGCCAACCAGGTCAGGCTTCCAGCCCCGAGCTGGGCAGTGGGCACTCTTGCTGTGGCTGGAAGCCCCTCCCCACTGCGTCTTCTCAGGCAGTTATAGAATAAATTCCATTTAAAATATATGCATTTCTCTCTGCTTAAAAAATAACATTTACAGTTGAAAAAGTTTGGACTTTGGGGGTCTATTAATCCCGCTGCCCCCACCCCGCCAGCTTTGCCTCACAGGCAGGGGAGGAACCGGCGTCTGGCCTGGGCACTGCCGCCTCCAGCAAGCAGCCCCGGTGTTTATTTACATGTCCTATGTACACCTGTGGGACCCGGCCAGACACACCGCTCCTCCGGCCTCTGCACCGGACAGCACAGCGGGTGGCAAGAGGTCCTTGGCACAGGGGCGTGAGACACCTGCGGGGGGAGGGGCACAGAAGCTCTGCCACCGCCTTTCTCCCTGGGTGGGAGCTCTTACCAGGGTCCCTGACCAAAGGGTAGGGCTCTGCTCAGGTTAGACACTGGGAGGGGTTTCACTGAGATATCAGGTTCTGACAAGCTCCCTGGCCCCCCCCAGGGCAGCTCCCCTGGAACTGCAGTGCTGACAGCCACTGGCTCGGAGCAGCAGGAGGGACCCTGCTAGGGCGGCAGGAACGTCTGTGTTGGGGCAAAGGCAATGGACGCTGCAGGTGGGTCTAGTTCAGTCCAGCATGGCATCCAGCTGGTCAGCCAGGGCGTCAAACATGGTGCTGATGTCGTCCAGGATGTGCTTGGTGGAGGTGCTGGGGGGGCTGCAGGGGGGGAGCACCGGGTCAGATCGGCCAATAGATCACCCCACCAGCCCTGGGCAAGGGCCCTGCGACTGAGCCTGGTTGGTGCCAAGTGCTTTCCAAGAAGGAGTCGCTGTCCCTTCCTTACAGGAGTGCACTGGGGCTCAAATGACTTGTCCAAGCTCATGTGCCTCTAAGTGGCAGCAGCCAACTTCCCTGCAGGTCAGACCTAGGTGACCAAGACCTGGGCTGCTCCCATTCCAACAGGGGATCCCCAGACTGAGGATCTGCTTGTGAGGTCCCTGCCCCCCAACCCCAGGACCCCCGGAAAGAGGATATGGGAGGAATCTTTCCCTATGCCGCCACCTTCTCCCCCTCCCTGCCCAGCAGCCCTCACCCCTCTCGCTCCTCAGCGCCAATGCTCTTCTCTGCGGCCCGCAGTGCGGCTGCCAGGGACGAGCTGGTCCGTTCCAGTCTCTGCTGGGCCTGGCCCGAGCCCACAGCCCCCGTGCTCTCTGGACGGGGAGGCGGTACAGGGCGGGGGCCAAGTCGGGGAGCCAGCTTAGGGCCAGAAAATGCCAGCTGGGTGCAGGCCACAGACACAGGCTTGGGAGCTGTTCCTGCAGAGACAGGTTGGCTTGTGACTCAACTGGGCTGGACACAACCCCTGCCAACAGTGCCCGGTCCCCGCAGGCCCTGCCTCATACCTGCTCCAGGCACCTTGATGAGGGCAGCGGGCGGAGCTGGGGGCTCTGGTTCCCCACGCTGCCGATTGCCTGCTGAGTTCTCCAGAGCTGGCCCAGGGCAGGGGGGCTTGGAGGGCTGGGTGGGAGGGCTGGGAGGGAGAGGGGCTGGAGCTCCTTGAGTTGGAAGGCTGCTAGGGTCTGGCTGAGGAGGGCAGGGAGAAGCCACAGGGGACTCGCTGGGGGTCTGGGAGGGCATGGGGACAGAGGGGCTGGGCATGGTGGTAGCCACTCCAAAGGCCAGAAGTGCCGTCTGCAGCGGCTCTCTCTCCCGGCATTTGGGCCTCCGCTTAACAGTGTCTGACTCTGTGAGGTTGAAGTCGAGGCCGGTGGGCACTGGCGTCTCCCGGGACGAGGGCCCGGCCGGCTTGGGCCGCTGTTTGATAGTCAGGTTCCCCTCCTCTGCAAACGGGAGCCCCTCCCCCGAGCTGCCCCGGGAAGGGGGGGTGCCCTCAGGCCCCGGATCCTCCTCTTCCTCTGTGTCTGATGCGGGGCCCGCGGGGGCAGGAGGGCCCGGGGGCTCTGATGGGCCAGCTGGTTCACTCAGTGTTCGCCTTCGGGGCCCTGGGGCCCCCTCTTTGGGTCCTAGGCTTCCATCTAGCGGAGGTGGCTCCGGGGTGGGGCCAGGGACAGAGCTGAGGCGCTTTGGAGGAGGTGGTGGGGGGCCTTTGCGTCGGGCCCGAAGGGCAAAGGACTGGCTACGGGGAGCTCCTCGAACTGGGGTCTGGCTAGGGCTGGGCCGGGTTAGGGTGCTGCGTCCTGGTCGCCGGGTGAGGGTGGCGTAACTGCCCAAAGCACTGCCCACCGGCCCTTCGGCCTCCCCCTCGGCTTCCCCCTCGGCCGGGCCCGGGCGGCTCAGGCTGTGGGACCGGCGCTTGGGCCGAGGAGGGTCTGGAGGAGCGGCAGGGGGGCCAGCCAAGTACGAGAAGGCTCGGGGTGCACCCGGAGGTGGCCCTGGGGCTGGACTGGAGGGTGAGCCCTGGGGGTACATAAAAACATAACCAGGAGGCCCTTGGCCAGGAAGTGGGGAACAAAGCTTAGGGGGCCGCTCTGTGCCCTCTGGAAGGTTCCTTTCCTGGGGGGTGCTAGGGTCTCCACTGCTGGGCTGAGGGGCAGGTTGTTCCTGTGAGTGGCCAGACCCCCGTGAGCGAGCTCCAATGCTCTCCTGGCTTGGGGAGCGGGCAGGGGGCAGGGGGAGTGGCTCAGGGCCGCCCCCGGCCATGGCTGCCTGTAGCTCTGGGCTCAGCTCGGCAGCAGGCCCCGCCGGAGCTCGGCCAGACGCTTCACACCCAGCATGAGCTTCTTCTGATGACCTGAGAGGGGTGCATACGGGTGGCAGGGTTAGTGGGGCTGCACAGGGTCACCCCAGTTCCTCTCCAACCCCGTTCTCTCTTCTGGGCCGGGACCCTGAAAACGTTTTTGAAGACCCTGGGCGGCAAGTGGGTGCCTGGCCAGAGGCCCCAGTGCAGCCGGGCTCACCAAGCTTGTTGACGCCGATCTCCTGCAGCTCCTCCCAGGTGAGGTCGGCCACCAGCCCCATGGAGTCGTAGCCGCTGCTCAGCAGCTTCTTGTGGTACTGCGGCAGCCTCGGCCCCAAGCCAGGAGGCGCCGCAGCCACAGCTGAGGGTGGGAGCGCGTGCGGCCGCCCACTCACCGGGATGTAGTTGGGCAGCCACTCGGTGATGCTGAGCTGGGCGATCTCGGAGGCGATCTTCTTCCTGTGCCCAGGCTTGGTCACCCCGATGGCCGTGAGGTCCTGCCCCAGAGTGGTGCCATTAGCCCCTGCTCTGCCTCCTGGGCCCTCCCCCGCCCTCCCACAGGGCACCCACCTCGGGCGTCATGCGGCTGATGGTTGGCACGTCGTAGCCGGCCTGCAGGAAGTGGGCGGTATAGCCCTCCAGCTGGAACTCACTGAGCCAGTTATAAATGGCCTGGGCATCCTGAGGTCGGGATAGGGCTGACATTAACGAGCCGAGTGTGCTGAGCAGGGGCCAGGGCCAGGGCCCAGCCAGCCGCCCAGCCGCCCCTAGGGGCCTGGACTGAGTGGCCTGAGAAGGGACTGAAGTCCATACTGAGGCCCATGCAACCCCCACCCGGGGCCGGCAGCCCCCTGCCCAGTGGAGGCCTCACCTTCCCCTCCAGCAGCTGCTCCGGCCTCACGTCCTGGGTGAAGAGCTGCTCCCCAGAGTGACAGTTGGCCAGAGGGCGGTGGCTCAGGCTGCCTTTAAGGAGGGACAGAGATGGAACCAGGGGTGGCAGGATGAAGGGGTGCCAAGCCCTCAGCCGCCTCACCTGCACCTCTCCCAGCCCATCCAGGTCCCATTTACCTTTCCTACCTGCCAGGGATGGGGGGTGCAGTCCCGGCAGCCCCTGGTCCTCTCCGGCGGAGGGAAGCGGCTGCACACAGGGAAGGAGCGACTCAGTGTTCGGGGAAGTGGCAGCAGGAGGGGGAGCCCTGCCCCGTCAACACCCTCTCCCTCGTACCTGGGCGTTCTCAATCAGGAGCCCAGTGCCGTGGCCGTTGGTGCCCTCGGAACTCTGCCCGCTGCCAGCACTGCGGATACTGCCCACGCTGCCCTCACTACCCACGCTATTCCTGTCACCTGCTGGAAAGGCAGAAGCAAAGGGGTTAGACTCCCAGTTGGCCCTGCCAACAGCTGACTGGCAGTCAGACGCCCACCCTGGTGCCAGGCTGCCCTCCGGGAGGATGTACCTGGGCTGTCTGGGCTGAGGCCCACCCGAGGGAGCTGGCCATAGGTGAGAGGGTGCAGGGAGTCGTCAGCCGGGGGCTGCGGTGTCCGAGAAAAGTTCGGGCGCAGGGGTGTGGGTGCAGAGGGGAGGCGGGGCGCAAGGAGGCCCACCCGCTTGCTGACCACCTCGACAATGCCCGGGGGGAAGTAGCCCACACGGTCCGTGCCCCTCTGGCTCTCGTGGATGTGGCCCTTCCAGCGGCCATCAGGATGCTGCTCTAGCACCTGTGGCAGATGGGGGAGGGGGAGGCAATGGTGACTTCCCGTACCAAGCCAGGGCAGGCGGCCAGCCCTGTAGCTGCGGTCCCCCACCCCCAAGAAGCTGGTCTCTAATGCACAAGTCAGCCCACAGCTCTGCGCCTGCCGTCAGCATCCAGCCCAGGCCCCCGTGTGCTTCTAGAACAGCCGTGGGCAAACTACGGCCCGTGGGCCGGATCCGGCCCATTTGAAATGAATAAAACTAAAAAAAAAAAAGACCGTACCCTTTTATGTAATGATGTTTACTTTGAATTTATATTAGTTCACACAAACACTCCATCCATGCGTTTGTTCTGGCCCTCCGGTCCAGTTTAAGAACCCATTGTGGCCCTCGAGTCAAAAAGTTTGCCCACCCCTGTTCTAGAACATACAGATAAAAGTCCTGGCATCAGCCCGGTTGAAATCCCAGCTCCACTGCTTGCTAGCCATGTGGCCTTGGGAAGTCACATTAACTTCTCTAAGCCTCAATTTTGTCTCTACAAAGGGAAAGGTGATAGCGCCTACCTCACCTGGACTGGAAAATCAATGACATAATCATATAAAGGCCTTAGCACAGAGCCTAACCCACAGTAGGTCCCCATCAAGTAAGGGACAGTGACCACTTGTATTCGCAAAGGAATGCCTGCACCAGGCCCTCACCGTAATCACGTCCCCTGCCCGGACATTGAGGGCAGTGGGATCGTGGAGGTTCCAGAAGTCCTTGAGCGCTCGAACCTTCAGGATCCCCGAGGCCTCTAAGAGAAGGAGGAGGACAGGTGTCACCTCGGTCCTTAGGACGTCTTCCTACCCCTGCTGTCCCCTCCGGGCCCCTCCCAGGTCCCTGCCTCATCATCCCCACAGCACTCCCCCTGACTAGCCCCAGCCCCAGGAGTGTGACTCCACTCCTGCTTCCCGGTACCCACTGGAGGCCCCCTGGGCGGGGTCTCCCCCACACACTCACCCCGCAGCAGCTGCTTGATCTCCCGGCTGGCCTGGGAGGTGGTGAACTGATTCACGATGTCCAGTGCCGTCTGGTTGTACGTGTTCCGAATGTTCACGTCCACCCCGCCCTGGGGACACAGTGCGGAGTGAGCGAGCACTAAGCACCTCGCCGGTCATTTCCCACAATCCTCACCACTACCAGGAGGCAGGTACTATTTCCATATTTTACAGATGAGGACATGGAAGCTCAGAGGTAGGGTCAAGGACGAGCTCAAGGTCACTCGGTAAGGGGCAGAAGTGGGGCTGCTCTCCAGCCACTTGGCCACCATGTTGGTGAGGGACACCGCTCATAGCCTCCACAGCCGGCCTCAGACCCGGCATCTGGTGGGCTCTGTGGGCTAAGGGACAGTGACCACTTGTATTCGCAAAGGAATGCCTGCACCAGGCCCTCACCGTAATCACGTCCCCTGCCCGGACATTGAGGGCAGTGGGATCGTGGAGGTTCCAGAAGTCCTTGAGCGCTCGAACCTTCAGGATCCCCGAGGCCTCTAAGAGAAGGAGGAGGACAGGTGTCACCTCGGTCCTTAGGACGTCTTCCTACCCCTGCTGTCCCCTCCGGGCCCCTCCCAGGTCCCTGCCTCATCATCCCCACAGCACTCCCCCTGACTAGCCCCAGCCCCAGGAGTGTGACTCCACTCCTGCTTCCCGGTACCCACTGGAGGCCCCCTGGGCGGGGTCTCCCCCACACACTCACCCCGCAGCAGCTGCTTGATCTCCCGGCTGGCCTGGGAGGTGGTGAACTGATTCACGATGTCCAGTGCCGTCTGGTTGTACGTGTTCCGAATGTTCACGTCCACCCCGCCCTGGGGACACAGTGCGGAGTGAGCGAGCACTAAGCACCTCGCCGGTCATTTCCCACAATCCTCACCACTACCAGGAGGCAGGTACTATTTCCATATTTTACAGATGAGGACATGGAAGCTCAGAGGTAGGGTCAAGGACGAGCTCAAGGTCACTCGGTAAAGGGCAGAAGTGGGGCTGCTCTCCAGCCACTTGGCCACCACCATGTTGGTGAGGGACACCGCTCATAGCCTCCACAGCCGGCCTCGGACCCGGCATCTGGTGGGCTCTGGGGGCACCTGCGGGATGACCAGGCGCCCACACCCACCTCCAGGAGCAGCCGCACCACCTCGGTCTTGCCGTACAGCGCGGCCTCGTGCAGCGCCGTGCCCGTTTTGGTCTGGCGGTTGATCTCAATCCCAGCTCTCAGCAGCTGCCTGTGGGGGCAGGAGAGGAAGCCAATTGCTGGGGGCAAAGGTGAAGAGGGCAGCAGGGCAGGGCACCGAGGGGACACTGCTGGCCCCCCAGGAAGGGGATGAGGAAATGAAGGTGGGGGGAGCGATGGGTACCTGATGACCTCTCTGTGGCCGTTCTTGGCGGCCAAGTGCAAGGGTGTGGTGTAGTTGGGGTCACACGGGTCCTTGGCCTCGCCCTCCAGCAGGGCCACACATAAGTGGCTGTTCAGTAGCAGCTGGGCCACCTGCAGAAATCAGCACCCAGGTAGAGCCTCCTCTTGAGACGCCCACAGACGCCCAGAACCAGCCCCCCAAGGGCTGCAGGCCTCACCTTGAGCCGCCCAAACTCGCAGGCCAGGTCCAGGGGCGTCTTCTTGGCCTTGTTGACCAGGCACGGGTTGGACTGATGCTGGAGGAGCATTTCTGACTGGGGGGGGAGGGGGAGCCGAG